AATACTGATGGACAGCACCTCTGACTTCTGCTGCATCTGCAGTGATGGGCTGGGAGGGGACAGAGGCTCTTCAGTGTGGTCCTCATTAATGACACTACCAGTTGCTATGTGTGTGTGTGTGTATATATATACACACACACATATATATAGTATATATATATAGGAGTCACTCAGTGGTGTCCAACTCCTTGCAACTCCATGGCCTATAGCTCATCTTTCTCCTCTGTCCATGGGATTCTCCAGACAAGAATATTGGAGTGAAACAATCAAAAAAGAATACTGGAATGGGTCGCTGTTCCCTTCTCCAGGGATCTTCCCTACCAAGGGATCGAACCCAGGTCTCTCGCGTTGCAGCCAGATTTTTATGGTCTGAGCCACCAGGGAAACCCCCAAATGAGAACCAATTAAGTGGTCAGCAGTTGGAAAAAGTAAGGAATGAGGTGGTGGGTCCAGCTCCCATAGATGCAGCATCTTTTCTTCAATAATCCATCCTTTCTTCACCAGAAAAATCTTACATATTTTAGCCTATGTGGTAGTTATTCTTACTTCATTTCCCCCAAAACTGTATTCTTTGATTACAATGAGTTTTCCCACTTTCTTTTAATTTTTTAATAGCTGCTAAGTCTTTAATTGGGCTTCCCAGGTGGTTCAGTGGTAAAGAACCCACCTGCCAATGCAGGAGACATGTGTTGGATCCCTGGGTCAGGAAGATCTCCTAGAAAAAGAAATGGCAACCCACTCCAGTATTCTTGCCTGGGCAATCCCATGGACAGAGGAGCCTGGCTGGCTACAGTCCATGGGGTCACCAAGAGTCAGACACAATTGAGTGACTGAACAACAACAAACAGACATCTCTAATTACTTTTTGCATTAAAAATTGACCACAATCAATATTCCCTAATGATGAGCCACAAACATTGTGTGTGTGCTTGAGTGTATTTTCTTTTTTTCATTTGGGGTATAGTAGCTTTAAAATATTGTCTTAGTTTCTGCTGTATACATATAGCTGATTCAGTTCTTGCCTTCTCCTCTCACCTCCTCTTGTTCCTTTTTCATCTCTACTTGCACCAGAGTTTGGTTTTTATTTTACAGTGACTTCTTGTTTCATCAAAGTCAAATGTCTTACATCTTATTGAAGACCAAAAAAGCGGGTATTTTCTAAAATATTTTTCATTACTCTAGTAAATCATTTTCAGAGTTGGACTCCTCTGTATACCTGAGTAATGCTTCTATTCTTTTTTGCTATAGAAAAAATTTCCAGGCCTCAAGGTTCCATTTTGGATGTTTGGTTTGTGTGTGTGTGTGTTTACTAATCTTTGAATGGGCTTATTTATATTCCAATATGACATTTTTAAGTAGTCGTTCCTTAATTAAGGAGGTATGAATTTTTCAAAAATTGATATTTGTTTATCTTCTGGTGGGCAAAGTGTTCCAAAAACTGAATTACATATAACGATTTGTCTTCAAAGGGCCTCTGATTTATGAAAAGTTAAGACAGGTATACTAACTATAGTGAAAGGCAGAAAGCCAGGTGGGGGACATGGGTAGAATTCATAACTTCTGCTTGTGGCCTTTTTCATAGATGATACAAAGTAAAACCATGACACTGAGATTGAGAAGGACTGACTGTGCACAGTTCAATGTTGTTCTAAGTTGCAACTATGGGACTTCCCTGGTGGTCCCGTGGGTAAGACTCCACGCTCCCAATGCAGGAGGCCTGGGTACGATCCCTGGTCTGGGAACTAGGTCCCCCATGCATGCCAAGGAAGATCCTGTGAGCCACAACTAAGACCCAGCACAGCAAAAACACATAAATAAGTTGCAGCTATCAGGAATTAAGAGCACTGAGGTTATTTCCAATTTATATTACCTTTTTCTTCCTCAGTAAATATGGAAATGGATAAGGAAATGGCAACCCACTCTAGTATTCTCGCCTGGGAAATCCCATGGACAGAGAAGCCTGGCAAGCTACAGCCCATAGGGTCGCAGAGTTAGATCCAACTAAACAACAGAAATATGGACAAATACTAGCAAATGCCATAGTGCCAACATTTCTATGCTATAAATCAATGAGTGTAAAGAATTTTACATGTTAGTACAGTATTCGTTAAAAATGACTACATTGCATTGTAAATTACTGTTGTGCAAGGAAGCATCAAGAATGTTACCAAATATCAGTGGAAAATAAATGAGAGATTTTCTTCAGGTTGAACAGTTTCCCAAAATATTTTATTTTCCAGTGATGAAAACATGCAACATCTACCTTTGTTTTACACCATTTTACACTGGTATAGGTACATTGATCAATTGTCTCAATTATATTCTTTTGTGAAAAGGCAATTTAACAAAACATTATTAGAGGGAACTTGCATTTTATGCCTAGGTTTTATTCTATTTGCTTTTCTGTTTTTTTTTCAAGTGTACCAAATGTTTCAAAAATTTGTTTAAAATTCCATGTGGCTCAGCCAGTGGTAAAGAATCCATCTGTTAATGCAGTAGACACAGGAGACTTGGGTTCCATCCCTGAGTTGGGAAGATCCCTTGGAGGAGGAAATGGCAATCCTCTCCAGTATTCTTGCCTGAAAAATCCCATGGGCTGGGGAGCCTTGCAGGCTACAGTTCATGGAGTCGCAGAGAATCAGACAGGACTGAGCGACAGAGTACACACACACGGATTTAAGATATTATTTTAATGTTGACATTAAAAACCAAGACTGTGATCAATGATAGTCTTAAGCTTAGCTAATTAATATGTGATTTAAAAACAAATAGAAAAAAGTATGATATCCAACCCTAAGCAGGGGTGAACTGTTCACTTCACAGGTCCCTATCTGGATATCTGCTGTAACAGAGCAAAGAGCCGCTAGGTGGCTCCATTAATTTAATAAAATTAAAGTCGGGAAAAGATAATGCATAGTCAAGGAACAAAATCTCTCTTGTAAGCAGAACATTTAACCAAAGCAAGAAACAATGATCTTTAATCATGGCCTCTCAGAATAATTTGGAATATAGGGTTAAGAGTTGAACTAAAAAAAAATCTGCAAGACTGCAAAGTATGTATGGGCAATCAATTTGATAAAGAAAATTATATTCTTAAGGACATCAATTACCAAGGGACAGATGGTTTCAAATCTTTCCTAATTTATTACCATCTAGTTTGCCAGCTTTTCTTTTGAACTTTTTCTCTCTTTTTTTGTTTAAACTTTAGGAAAAAAATATTAAATTTGAGCATTTATTAATTCACTAAAAATTGCTTTCCAATTTCTTGACTTACAGCTGCCATCCTTATTAACATCCCAAGAAAAATATCAAAACAACTTCGTCTGGGCTATTTGGGAAGGAAAACAAAAGCACTGTGCTTACCTAAACTAACTCAAAATACAACTCAAAATACAACTAAGGCAAACACTATTCTATACCATTTGCAGGGAGATTGAAAGAAACTGTGTCACAAGAATTCCTTCCCGGGTTCACAAAAGACGAGAAAAAAGTGTTACATTTGAAGTGTGAGCTGCATTTTAGGTACCCAAGTTGCCTAAAGATCTCGGGATTTTATTTTTTAAGAAGCACGTTAACCGAAGACGATCATTTTCCTGAAAATACATAAGGAACTGTCACAAAAATAAATGCGAGGTGGTGGGGGTGGGGGGGGGTGGGTTCCGAACTATTAAACATTCTAAACCGTCAGTCTGCAATTGACAAATAGGAAAAAAAATTTTTTTTTCCTTCTCCCCTCTCCCTTAAAAGAGAATCTCAGACCTGTCACCGCTTAAGAAAATATTTAGAACTCAATTTAAACGTAAAAGAAACAAGTTTCTTATCGTTCGGAGTCAATAAATAATGCTGGCGCGGCACTTGGAGTCTCCACAGTATTTTGCTGGTTTTGTTTGTTTTTCCAGGCAGGAGCTGCATTAGAAAACTTCATAAAAGTAGAGGGCAAGTCGTCTGCCGTAATTCGTTGAGACCGTTTTTTGTAAACGAGCGCTTCCAGCAGTTTAAATTACAGTTGGCTTTAAAATGCTAATTCCGAACCCACTTATTTAAATGTCTTTGAAAACGTTTACCCTTCTGTTTTCGAAGACAACAAATCACACCCAAAGTCTGCGCAAACTGGACCTAAAATGCGTATCTGTTTCCCAGATAGGAACGAACCTTATCGCTATGTTTAGAGAAATCAAAAAACCGATTTCGGTCCTTCCATTCAAAGAATTCCCGAGGACAAGGGGACGCACCAAGAATGCTCCTTAATATCTACAGCGTACCTCCAAAGACTTGTAAATCCCGTCTATTATTCTCGACTAGGAGCCGACCAGTTGAGACCGGACGTGAATCCTGCAACTGATCTCAAAAGATGTAGAGGCTCCAGGTCGAAATATCAAAGGTTGGGGCGTGGGGGTGTGGGGGGTGGTGGCAGGCAGGTGGGCTTAGCGGTCACCCAGAGTTAACTCACAGACTTTAGAACAGTCGGACTGTCCTGGAGATTTTCTCTTTGTTTTGATATTCGTTATTTTATTTCGTTCTTGCGCTGAGGACACAATGGTTAGGAATGGGGAACCGGTTGCATGAATCTCGGAGGCGCCGGCCGCCCCCGGGCTTCCCCGGTTCTTCCCGGCCTCCCTCCGAGGCACCCCGGCCCGGAGAGGAGGGGTTGCAGCGGCGGGGCAGGCCCTGCGGGCGGCCCGAGGTTTCCGCGCGCTGGGCCGGGATGCGCGCCCGGGCAGGTGGGGCGTGGCGGGGGCGTGGAGAGCCGGGGCCCGCGGGCAGCCGCCCAGCCCGGCGACCGGCCCGGGAGGAGCCGCGCCTCCGACGGTTATAAGAGGCCGGCTCATCGGCGCTCCGCGCTCACCCATCAGTCCCCGCCCCTCCTCGCCGAAGACCCGAGTCGCCGAGCCAGGGCCGCAGGGTTGGCCCCCAAAGGGATGCTCTTGTCCGAGCGGCGAGGTCAGCCCCGCTCGCCCCTCGCCGCCGCCGCCGCGCCGCGCCAGCCGACGGCCGCCGACATGGCTCTCTACTGCGGGGACAACTTCGGCGTGTACTCGCAGCCCGGCCTGCCATCGACCGCCGCCGCCGCCGCCGCCCCGGGCGCCCCCGCACCCGCCCGGGCGCCCTACGGCCTCACCGACTACGCCGCGCCACCAGCCGCCGCCGCCAACCCCTACCTGTGGCTCAACGGGCCGGCCGTGGGCGGTCCCCCCGCCGCCGCCGCGTACCTGGGCGCCCCCCCGCCGCCGCCGCCGCCCCCGGGGGGCGCGCCGGGACCCTTCCTGCAGCCGCCGACTGCCGCTGGCACCTTCGCCTGCGCTCAACGGCCCTTCGCGCAGCCCGCGCCTGCCGCGCCCGCCTCACCCGCCGGACCCGCGGCGCCCGGGGAGCTGGGCTGGCTGTCCATGGCCAGCCGCGAGGACCTGATGAAGATGGTGCGGCCGCCCTACTCGTATTCGGCGCTCATCGCCATGGCCATCCAGAGCGCGCCCGAACGCAAGCTCACGCTCAGCCACATCTACCAGTTCGTGGCCGACAGCTTCCCCTTCTACCAGCGCAGCAAGGCCGGCTGGCAGAACTCCATCCGCCACAACCTGTCTCTCAACGACTGCTTCAAGAAGGTGCCCCGCGACGAGGACGACCCAGGTGAGGGCGGACAGGTGCTTCCCGGCCGGACCCTTACTCACACCCGCACCCCACTACGCCCACCCCGCAACTCACGCACACGCAGAGGCAGGCCAGGGTGGGATAAAGGTCAAAAGCCTGAATCCTTAAGCCTAAAATCACTCCTGAGTGGTATTCCTTAGGCGGTTGGAAGGGAGGGTCGAGTTACCGGTAAACGGATTAGGAATAAGAACACGGGTGGGCTCTCAGATAAGGGATGGCTGTAAAGAGATTCATATGAGCCGAGAATCCCATCACATTTCAGGAGAGTGAGGTGGGGAGAGACTGGGAGTTGGTACCCGCTGTACGCAGATGCGTTTCGAACTTTATCTGTTTAGAAATGTAAAAATGGAAACCCCAAACGTGCTTTGTGCGGATCTAAGTCCCGGAGGTGAGGAGGGCTGGGTGATAGTGGCTTGTTAGTGGTTTCCCTCTTAACTGAGGAATGAGGTAAAGAAAAGCTCAACAATGACAGAGACAGATTCTTACTGGAAGTTTTCGGAAGGAGCTCAGGAATAGGGGTGTGGGGTGAGAATCAGGTTAGGGAAAAGAGAAAACTGTATCGTAGCCTTCTACAGCAGGAGTCCCCAACCTCTGGGATCTAATGCCTGATGATCTGAAGGGGAGTCGATGTAATAATAATAGAAATAAAGTGCACAATAAAAGTAATGCACTTAGACTACCCCCCCCCGCCCCGCCCCCAACCATCCCTTGCCCCCTGCATTGGTGGAAAATGTTGTCTTGCAGGAGACCAGCCCCTGGTGCAGAAATGGCTAAGGATCAGTGAGGGATACAGGATTCTGTGTAAATTTTGTAAATGCTCTGAAGTAGTTGTATTGTTGTTCAGTTGCTCAGTCATGTCCAACTCTTTGCAACCCCACGGACAGCAGCACTCCAGGCCTCTCTGTCCTTCACCATCTCCCAGAGCTTGCTCAAACTTAGGTCCAATGAGTAGGTGATGCCATCCAGCCATCTCATCCTCTGTTGTCCCCTTCTCCTCCTGCCTTCAATCTTTCCCAGTATCAGGGTCTTTTCTAATGAGTTGGCTCTTCACATCAGGTGCCAAAGTATCAGAGCTTCAGCATCAGTCCTTCCAATGAAGAGCATTGCTTTCCAGTTGAAATGCTGCACAAACCACACGTGGTTGAAAAATGGTCTAGTAGCCATGTGAAAAAAAAGTAAAAAGATTTTAAGAAGTAAAAAATCTTTTTACTTTTTAAGAAGTAAAAAGAAAATTTATTTTTTAAAGTAACCCAAAATGTCATTTCAACATGTAACGCATATAAGAAATTATCCATGAGCTTATTCTTTTGGTACTAAGTCTTCAAAATCCTATGTATGTGTTTTATACCATATCTCACTTGATACGTACCACTTTTCAAGTGTCCAGCAGCCATGTGTGGCTAATGGTTACTTTACTGGGCAAGGCACGCAGTTCTCCAAGATGCATCTGCCAGATTTGGCCTCTAAATCACCTGAGATGATCCTGTCAATTGTCACATACACTCCTGGACTTTCTAAGAAGGTCAAGGATCTCAAGCCAGTGTCTTGTCAAAGCTTTTGGTAGCAAGGTGACACAATATAAATATTCTGGTAGGAGTAGGTATGATTGGTTGTTTAGATGGTAGTTACGTGAATTAAGTTTTTGTTCTGCAACTATTTGCAGAAAATGTGTTGGTGGAGGTAATGGATGTGGAAAGGTGTGTGGTAGTGGTTAAGAATGCTTGAGTCTAGAGACAACATGCTTATATCCTGGCTCTACCAGTGCTAACTGGGCTTCCCAGGTGGTGCAGTGGTAAAAAAAAATCAGCCAAATCAGCCTGCCAATGCAGTAGATAGATGTAGGTTCAATCCCTGGGTCAGGAAGATCCCCTGGAGAAGAAAAAGGCACTCCAGTATTCTTGCCTGGGAAATCCCATGCCCAGAGGAGCCTGGTGGGCCACAGTCCACGGGGTCACAAAGAGTCAGACAGGACTGAGCAACTAAGCACGCACACACCGTTGCTAACTGGGAAAATGACAGGTTGCTAACCAATCTGCACCTCAATTTCCCCATCTGAAGAATGGAGGCGATGATATCACCCGTCTCCAAAGAGCCGTGAGGAGTAACTAGAGTTATCGATGTGAAGAACTCACTACAAGATAAGTGCTTTACGGTATTTGCAAATGCCAAAGATTCTTTTTACCAGAAGTGATGAGAGCCATTGGGAGAAAAAAATCCTCAAAGATGACAGATCTTTTTTACTTCCACTGTGCTAGCTAGTGAGGGTTTTTTCCTAAGCACAGGACTAGCATTGCTTGCATTAAATGGGGCCCTGGTCTCTGAGATGCATTATGCATTGCTTGCATTAAATGGGGCCTGGTGGAGGAAAAGCTGGGGAGACATGCAAGGGTGCCTCTTGCCCAAGGCGAGGGATGGGTGTGGAGCTTCCTTGTACTTCCAAATAGATGCCATCCAAGGTGTATTTAAAACAGTCACTTTAACTTGTCTTTTCTGTTGGACAAGGCGGAGGGTTGGGCATTGGAGGTTGCATTTTCCCAGTGGAGTACTTTTTCGGGGCAACTAATATACCCTTTCAGCAAGTGATAATGATAATAGATACCTTTTTCTTTTCACTGCTCACTGTGTATGGCTTCTTTGCGGAGATCTATCATTTACCCCCTCACGGCCAACCTGTGAGGTGAGTACTGTTCTTACCCCTATTTTTATAGATAAACAGAGGCTCAAGTTCAAGTAGTGTCATCTGCCCCGAAAGGAGGAATTTAAACAACAGAGTGGATTGAGCATCTCTGTCAAGTTTCATGAGAGCCTGCCTCCCTCATCTCAGACCCAAAGCTGAGCATGTGGAGCTTCCCTGGTGGCTCAGTGGTGAAGAATCCGCCAGCCAATGCCAGAGGCGTGGGTTTGATCCCTGGGTCAGAAAGATCCCCTGGAGAAGGAAATGGCAACCCACTCCAGTATTCCTGCCTGGAGAATCCCGTGGACAGCGGAGTCTGGCAGGGCTACAGTCCATGCAGGTGCCAAAGAATTGGACATGCCTTAGTGACTAAATGATAACATGGGCATGTAACGCCTCCTCTAACCCATCTTTCTCATCTTTGCAGGGAAAGGTAATTACTGGACCCTGGATCCGAACTGTGAGAAGATGTTTGACAACGGCAACTTCCGCCGGAAGCGAAAGCGCCGCTCAGAAGCCAGCAGCACCCCCTCGGTGGCCGTGGCGACCTCGAAATCAGACGAAGGGCTCTCCCCGGGACTGGGGTCTGGAGTGGGTGGGAAGCCAGACGGAGACAGTGCCCCTGCGTCGTTGAGACCCTCCCAGTCCCCAGAGCCTCCTGAGGACACCAAGAGTACTGCCTCCTCACCGGGAGTGTCCATGCTTTCCTCCACCCCTTGCCTGAACAGCTTCTTCAGCAGCCTCAGCACCCTAAGCGTCGGTAGCAGTGGGAGCACACAGCGGGCACTCCCTGGCGGCCGCCCCCTAGGGATCCAGGGGCCCCAGGTGCCCTCAGGCGGCGTGTTTCCCCCCAGCTCCGTCCCGGAGCCCTCGTCAGACCCCTTACAGCTGAGTCACAGTTCCAGCAGCAGCAGCAGCAGCAGCAGCAGCAGCAGCCAGAGATCTTCCTACTATGGCCCCTTCCCCGCCAGCACCAGCGGGGCCCCGAGCAGTCCCTTTGGCAGCCCTTTCTACAACTTCAGCATGGTCAACAGCCTCATCTACCCTCGGGAGGGCTCCGAGGTATAGAGCCCCAGTTCCCAGACTCAACTGTTACACACTTGAGATCTCATGAAATACAGATCTCCAGGCCATAGGTCTGGGGCAGGAACTGAGATTGCATTTTCTCCAGTGCTCCCGGCAAGGTCCACTGACCACACTCGGAACAGCATGTGGATGCAAACTTCTCCTTTACCCGGCAAGCTTTCTCTGGATAAAGGGCCTCCCTGGAGAGAAATCCAGTCCAGTCTGTCCTGGGATGGTATCCGAGAGCCCTGTGAGGGCAGGGACCATATCTGTCTGTTCATCACTGCCTATCAGGGTGAGTCCAGTGGGCACAGACTTTAGCTGCAAAAACAAGTGAATGAAGTTACTGGGTCAGAAAAAGGTAACAGTTGGCACTGGAAGCAGCAGGGAATGGTTGGGACCGACCAGCTGCAGGCTGCTGTGGGCAGCTGGTCTTCTCTGCCTGGCAGCATTCTGTTTTTTCTAGAAAAGTCAGAGACCTGCATTTTTCCAGGAAACCTCCATTTGTCTTCTTTGTGGCTAATGGAAAGTTTTTCAGATACTGTGCCAGAAAGCACAGCAAATGCTTGAGCTCTCTACCCAGCTCACAGATCACCTCTATTTATGCTTAGTGTCAAGGATGTGTCAGACATTAATAGTGATAGAAATGCCCAGACACACCCTGTGTGCCAGGCATTGTTCTAGACACTTACCATATATTAGCTCATTTAATCCTCACAACAATCTTGGAACAAAGGTATTTGTTACTCCCCCCCATTTTCTGTATGGTGGCAGTAAACTGCCAAGATGTTAGGTCCACACAATAAGTCATGAAGCCTGGATCTAGTTTTTTGATTTTTTTTGTCTGTTTTTGTGTGTGTGCGTTTAGTTTTCTGTTTTGTTTTGTTTTGTTTTGTCTATACTGTGTGTCCTGTGGGACCTCAGTTCCCCGATCAGGGATTGAACCCAGGCCACAGCAGAGAAAACACCAAATCCTAATCATTAGACCACCAGGGAACTCTCACCAGGATCCAGTTTTAAAGTAGTCTGGCTCCAGAGTCTGTCTTTGTAATCTTTGTGTTCTAGTCCTTGAAAAACAAAGGCATTAACATGCATAGGCAGACTAAGTGGTGTCTAAGGAGTAGGAATGAGCTGGGTTTCATCTGACCAAAGATCCTGTCTGAAATCAGTATCACTTGGGACGTTCTGAGCAGGAAGGATGGACACCAGCTCTTCCTTACTATTGCTGCCATATTTCTGAGGTCTCTGGTGACCATCCTAGTTAACTGGTATCCTGTCTTTTTTAGCTTTTGTCCTGGGTTTTTCATCTTTAAAACAAAGTTTTAGTATTTTATTAAAAATAGTTTTTAAATGGAATTTTTATTTTTAAAAGAAAACATTTGTGGTCAAAAAATTTTTTAATGTAATATATTTTAACACACCCTTTTACTTCTCAGGAGGTGTCATCATTTGAATAGTTTTTATGGTCACCGTCTTGGTGCCCAACAGAATGTCTGTATGTGGTAAGACACTCAGCCACAGTTTGAACTTATCCAAAAAGTGTTAATGCAGGTAGTGTGATTTTATTGGAATAGTGATGCATTAAGATGAAGTTAATGTCCTATGAATTACCCTTGTACCATGTTGTTTGATCTTTGATGGGAACATTGCTGGTTTTTAATTTTTTTAGAAAAAGGAACACAAATTAATTGTAAAAAATTGTTAACTTTTCCCTGTATATTATTTGAGATTCACAGCATTATTGTTAAATTGGAAGTTTGAAAGAATACATATAGAAAATTATTTTTTTAAAAAATAGTCTATTGAGGTATAAATAATGTCAACATTACTTTTTAAATATTATACAGGAAGACAACCAAAGAAACTACCTACCCTCATACTGTGTGTACAAAAAACCCACTTTCTATGGATATTTTTGTATGTGAAAAATTGTATGAACTTTTATAAATATTGTTTTTAACACAATTCTATATTTGTAAATTAATTTATAATGTGAACTGGGACAATTTTTTTTCCCCCAAGAAAGCACACTGCATGCTGGAAATCACGTAAAATAAACTTTAAGTGGGATGACTTCTGGCTCCTTTTTAGGCATCTTGTTTTCCTGTCTTTAACTTCTTTCTATAAAGGAATAGAGCTGTAAGCAGCATGGCACCGAAACTGCTACCGGATTTTTGTGTGTTGAGAGAGCAAGCAATTAACACCAAAAGCATTTTGCATTGGGATATAGCCGATTAACAATGTTATGATAATTTCAGGTGAACAGCGAAGAGACTCAATTATACATATATCGATTCTGCCCTGATCCCAATTTCTTTATTGGACTTGTTCTACCTGCCCACATCCTAAGGTTTTGGAATGAATCAGTTCTGGAGGATCTCTAGACATGAGCGTCTTGTTTGTATTTTAACAGAGTAATGTTTCTGTCTAGCTCAGCTGGTGAAGAATCCTCCTGGAATGCAGGAGACTCCTGGTTGATTCCTTGGTCAGGAAGATCCCCTGGAGAAGGGAATGGCAAACCACTCCAGTATTCGTGGGCTTCCCTGATGGTTCAGCTGGTAAAGAATCTGCCTGGAATGCGGGAGACCTGGATTAGGAAGATCCCCTGGAGGAGGGCATGACAACCCACTCCAGTATTCTTGCCTGGAGAATCCCATGGAGGACAGGAGCCTGACGGGTTACAGTCCATGGGGTCACAAAGAGTCAGGCACGACTGAGCAACTAACACACAAGATCACTCCAGCTGGAACATTCCTCAGGGGGAACTCTGGCTTCCAGTGCTGTGGTCCTCATGGAGGGTACAGGCAGCCCATCGTCTCTAAGGAAGTCGCTAGGAAACTTGAATTTGGCCCCAACTAGAAAAAACCTGAAATATAAGGTTTCTAGCCTAGGGTTTCTAAACATGAGCAGTGTAGGTATTTGGAGCTGGATCATCCATTGTGGAAGCTGCCCTGTGCATCACAGAACGTTTAGTAGCAGGCTGGAAGCACTTCCCCTCTTCCTTCCCCCGATACGCACCGCCCCAACCCCCCCAGCCCCTGCTCCCAGGCCCTGAGACATTGACAAATGTCCCGGGGTGGGGATGGGGGGCACAAAATTAGATCTGATTGAGAGCCACTAATCTAGACCAGTGCCCTAATTTGCCAGTAAGAAGATGAAGGCCCCTCACTCCCCCCAACAGAGTCCTTAATAGTGGAGCTCAGAATGAATAAGGTCTCTGATACAAGACACTTTCTGTCCTGCGAAATGGCTTTTCTCTCTTTTTTTAAAAAAATTATTTTGTATTGGGGTGTAGCCGATTAACAATGTCTGATGGTTTCAGGTGAACACCGAAGGGACTCAGTCATATAAAAACATGTATCCAAAAAAAAAAAAAGATAAAAACATGTATCCACTCACCGCTATATTTAAAATGAATAACCAACAAGGACCTACTCACTGTATAGCACATGGAACTCTGCTCAATGCTACGTGGCAGTCTGGATGGGAGGGGAGTTTGGGGGAGAATGACTTGTAAATGAGTTGTGAGCAGGATAGGTCCAATCATCGAGGCATTTCTCAGAACTGAGAAATCTGTTTGCCTGTCACATCGGAGGTAGACGCCTGCCATATTCTAGTTGCTTGTTATAGAAATGCTTGTGGTAGCCTCCTTCTTGGCATCTAATTATATCTATTAATAGAGGCCTAGACTGGGAATAATTCTGACCAAACAATAGTAAATTGTCTGGGTTATTATTATTTGATAGGGATGGTGGTGGGGAGGACAGGCTTAAGGATATCTTGGAAAGAAAAATATATTAAAAGAATGTGATGAACCTATATTTGGAAGCATCTAGATGTGGGTGTTTGATAGCCATGAAATGCCAGAAAGATGGCATTTATGAGAACAAAGGCAAAGAGAAGAATCCACTTCTGATCTCCCAAAAAACCACAATGGGCAGCAGGGTGGCTCAGTCCTCACAGGAACCAAGAAGATGTGCTAGGGGGCAAGTTGTGGCTCCTGCTGGGCCTGGGATTAAAGGGAAACAGTCAGAGCTGCCTCTGCCTGTGATGTTTCCAGGTCAAAGTCTGCACCAGCACTCCAGTTGGCACCGATTTCCTGCATCTGTGATATGTTCTCCCTGGGAAACAGGTCAGAAATTCTGGACCTTAGCTAGATTGTGATTTCTGTTGTTTGAGACAGTACAGAGGAAAAGATGTCCCTCTCTCCCTACCCCCACCCCACCCCACCCCATGTAGTTAAAGCACCCTTCTTTCTCCAGGGTTCTCCCAGACCAGAGCCTGGTGTCAAGTTGCAGCCCAAGCTGAGGACCTCTGGGCACAAGGCTAACTTAAAGCAGCTACCTTTCAGCTCTCTGGGCTTCCCTGGTGGTTCAGATGGTAAAGAATCTACCTGCAATGCAGGAGACCCGGGTTTGATCCCTGGGTCAGGAAGATCCCCTGGAGAAGGGAATGGCTACCCACTAAAGTATTCTTGTCCTGGAGATTTCCATGGACAGAGGAGCCTGGCGGGCTACAGTCCATGGGGCGCAAAGAGTCAGACACACCTCAGACACCAGTGAGTGACTAACACTTTCTGCCTTCTAGGACCTAGTGTATCTTTAAAGAATAAGAAAGGGGCAAAGGAGAGTTTGAAAAACTAATAAGTAGGTTTCAGGTTTCCTTCTTGATACTTTTAGATCCTTCATCTCATTCTTGAGCTTACTGGGAAAAGACAGCCGGGGAGCCCAGGGACTGCGCAAAAAGCTGCGCCTTTGCCCCCAGCTCCTCCTTGCACTCAGGGCAAAACGGCAGGGCCAAACTTTGGCCCCTGAGGAAGAAAGACCGCCACTGACCTTCCGAGGAAGCTCCTCCACGGGGACTCTGCCTTCCTCAGAATTTCTCGAACTTGGAAAGAGCCTAAAGCTTTAGTATCTGTTGTTTTCCCCCCTTTGTCTTCCTGAGCCGCCCCACTAGCTAAAACCTTGAGGTTTTTAATGAAAAAGAAACCTGGGCTTGTTTCC